GTTTATTAAAGGTTGTTACATTCAGCTAAATAAAATACAATGAAAACAACCATTTATATATGAAAAATATCTTAAAAATAGTTCGATAATTCTAAAACGAAACAAACTAAATCTTGTTTCGTCACACTCCCACCGCGATACCAAATTCAAAAAACGTTTTGCATTAATGATTCCATAAAACAAATCGACGAGAAAGTTCGAACCATTAACGTAGCTTTTCGATAAATTCAAAACATAGATGATTTTCATTGACATCTTCAATAGAATAGCCACTTGTCGATTTCGATCTTTAGGCAAAGAAACAATACGATAAAAATTCACAATAGAATCTGACCAAAACGTGATTAAACCAGAAAAAATCGGATGGATACGATATAACAAATTGCCAGAAACAAAATTCACGTGTTCAATATCGCGTCCATAAACGAAAACACACATAATACCATAATTTTCTCCAACAGCCGAAAGATACAAATACATTTTCAAATCCAAAAATTCTTTTACCACTTTCAAATGACTTTTTACTTGTCCAACAAAAACGTTCAGAACTTGAGCGACCCAAACGAGATGAAACACCAGTCGATACAATAATCTAAATTTCTGTTTCCACGGATCAAAACCGTATGGATCAAAAAACTTTCCGATAATTACTATACGATCACAAGTTTTCACAGGATCCAATTCTGGAAAATCAGTTACAACATCGTCATTCGTAATCTTAATCGCAATCATGACCATAAATTCACGAAAATCTGGTTGGTACGATAAACAATTTTCAACAAAAGCCAAATCAGCATCACCTACAATTTCTTCAGCTTCTTTCATAATGTTCACATCATCATTAGATTCAGTTTTCAATAACAAACTCGAATCGTTCTTGAATTCCATAATCGAACATTGAAGTTCACTGGTTTTTTCTCGAATTTCAATCGAACAATTTTCTCTCGAAGGAAATTCAACGCCAAAAAGAGATGACGATTCTGGATCCGGTTCTTTCTTCATAGCATCCACATTTTTCACATGTACTTCAGGAATCGATATATGTTTGGTACAATCCATTGATCGAGTAGAAATATCCAAAGGAATCACATCACTAAATCGAATTGAAGGTATCATAAAGCCAAAATCCGAAGATTTT